CAGGTGTGCTTTACTTGTTGCTTCCTAGGTGTTTTGGAAGAGCTATTTAAAAAGTTGTCTAGAGACTGAAACAAATTCGTGCTCATTGCAGAGCTGTGGTCGTGCTCGTCCCGTTTCCCTCCTGGCCCGCCGTGAAATTGTTTAGCTTGGGTTAAACTTTGTACCTCGGTCGCAGTTTCCCTAGTGCACACAGGTGGTGAAATCACCTGCTCCCCATGGGAATCCTCATTGATGGTTTTTTCATGTAGTATTTTATGGGTTTCCATCTAAAACGAGATAGGTGTTTTTATAAACTTTATTTTGGTTTGGTAATTTGTTTTCACCACATCTTTGGAAAATGGAGAAACTGTTTCGTGGGATGTTCTGCTTTTTGTTAAGTTAGGTGGTTTTACTTTCTCTCAAACCCTAAATACAAAATGAAAACACGAAATGTTTAGTTTCAGATAGGACGTTTCCCCAAATAGAGCGGTGCTGGACACCGAGAGAAAAAATATTTTCCAAAACACTGACAATTTTCCCCCTTAAATTTGCCTTTGCATGAAAATCAGACTCCCTGGGATGCATGTTCTTTTTGCTTTTTAGAAGCCCTTCAAAGTGTAGGGCACACATTTCCCTCTAGAACATAAGATCCTGGAGGGCAGAGGTCATTTCATTTTTGCTTCTGATCTCCAGCACCTAGTGCCTTACACATAGTAAGCTCTTAGTAAATTCTTGTTTATTGATTAGTAGCACCTACCTTTCGAAACCATCTAGAGTCAAGTTTAAGATAAATATTTTAAAAATTATTGAATTCTAGTTAAGTAAAATGTGATTGAGAATGTAAATGTTGATGTATTTTTAAAAATAGAATTGAAACCATAAGAAAAGTATTACATACCACGAGTAATGTATTTTATTAATTAGAATTACCAGTATGATATATAATAATATAATCAACGACACAAAGTAATTGTGCTAATTAATTATTAATATGTTAATTTAATGAGAGTATGGGAATGGGGAGTGACTGGAGTGAAGAAAATCAGATAATAGCTAAGATTATTTAGCAGAATACAATTCTTGGTAGCTTACATATTGACATTAATTAGAATCTTAATAATGGCTAAGATATAGGGAATCTGTGGGGTTTGCAATTATGACAGTTTACTCTATTAAACACTTCTGTGTTGAAGGAACTCTTGATATCTAGAATGGGGAAAATAAGGCATGGCCACAATACCCGAGTTCCAGAACTCTTTTGGATTTCTTACTTGCATTCTTCTTGGTCATCTGCATGGTACCTCTGCAGATACGGGTCTTCCTGGCCTGTCTACTTCTTATTACAACATGGCCTTAGTAGCAGAGCTAGAGGAAGATTTAAAAGAATTCATTAAAAAAAAATTCAAAAAGATTTTAAAAATCCTTATTCACCGAGAGAGACAAGAGCTCCTACACTTGCCCTTATGACACCTTAGGCGATGTCTCTTCTTTTTGCAGAGCGCTACAATTTAAAAGACAGGTGAATGCTGTCACCTGCAAGGAGGAAGAAAGCATTTTTCTCACTTCAACTCCTTCCTCCCTCTAAAACCATCTTTTTAATGAAGTGAGTCATTTTTGGGGGAAGGAGAAATGTATAATTAGGACAAAAGTGAGGAAAAAAATCAATTTGAATATAATGTGAGTATGGAGGGGAAGTGATTTCTTTAAATGTCTTGTTAACTCATCCTTATTTTTGCATTAAGCTGACCTCAAAGTGAGAAAAGATAAGATTTGTAAGGGGGAGGGGAGCAACCGGCCAGTGAGCTTGAGGAGGTACCTGGCTCTTGGTTAAAAAGGAGTATTCTGTTGTGAAGATTCATTTTCTCCTTCTCCTGTCTGTGGGATGTCTATGTTTGCCAAAGCTTGGCTATTTAAAGGATCACAGACCTTGGGGGTCAGAAAGGGATCCTGTCCAGCTCACATGTGAGCAAGAATCCTCTCTGCCCAATCCAGTTTAGTGAGAGAAAACCTATTACTGCCCCAAATTCCCTGTTCTCCCCTTATGGATAGCTTTCTACTCATTGTTTCTAATTCTCCCATCAGGTCCTTGAATGTAATGATCATGTCTTCTGTGTTGTGGTAATTCCTTCCTTTATACTGGTTAGACCAGTTTTTCTTTGAAAGGTATTCGAGTCCATTCTTCAGATTCTGACTCTAGGCACTAAAGGCCTTCACGGCACTTGCTTGTTGACCTAGTACGAGCTCCAGGTACTTTTTCTAATGTTTGGCTGGTGAAAAATGATGAGCAACTCTTGCCCAGCTGATTCCACTTGACGTTGCCTTAGCACTCATCTTTGTGGCGTATCGTTCTCCAGCTATCGCTAAATAAATTGTAATAACTGCTCAATGATCCATCAGTCCCATTTTGTTCCAGTATTGGGTCTACAGTACTGGGACACTGCCTTGAGTGAGTTCCCAACCACACCAGTTGGCAGGATTAGAACATCATAAACTTATTTAAGTGCTCCAGGAAGGGAGTTGTGATTGGCCTTCATGTTTCCAGTAGTATTTTTGGTGGTACCTCTGGAGATGGAGGTTGCTTACTGTGAGCCTTCCAGGGAAAGACTAATGTGAATATAGTGTGTTCTTAAAAATAGCAAATTGTCTTTTAGTCTACCTGGACCTTCCAGCCTCTTTTACACGAGATAATTTCCCCCCATTCTTCTTCTCCCTGGACATCCGTTTTTCTTGCCTGTTCATTTTTTTTTTATTTTACATCATCCCAACTTGATTGACTCACTCCCACACCTTTTTTCTATGTTGAATCCTTCTAACTGCCCTAATAGTGATAAAGTTCCTAGAAGATTATCTGTAAATCATTTTCCCCATATAGAAAGACTTAAAGTTTAACCTTACTGAGTCCCTTATGATTTCTTTCATGTTTACCTTTTTATGTTTCTTTTGAGTCTTATATTTGAAAGTTACATTTTCTATTCAGCTCTGGTCTTTTCATCAGAAATGCTTAATTTCATTAAATGTCATTTTGCTTGCTTGTAATCTCAGCTCTTTTGCCTTCCAGAATGTTATATTCTAAGCCCTCTGCTCCTTTAATGTGATAGCTGTTAAATCTTGTGTTATCCTGGCTCCACAGTATTTGAACTGTTTCTTTCTGGCTGCTTGCACTGTTTTCTCTTTGACCTGGGAGCTCTGGAATTTGGCTGTAATATTCCTGGGAGTTTTCATTTTGGGATCTCAAGTGGTGATTGGTGGATTCTTTCAGTTTCTATTTTACCTTTGGGTCGAGGATATCTGGGCAGTTTTCCTTGATAATTTCTTGAAAGATAATGTCTAGGGTCTTTCTTTGATTATGGCTTTCAGTAGTCTAGTATTTCTTAAATAATCTCTCCTGGATCTATCTTCCAGGTCAGTTATTTTTCCAATGAGATATTTCAAATTTTCTTCTATTTTTTATTTCATTTTGTTGACTTTGTTTTATTGTTTCTGGATTCGAGCCTGTAAAGATACTTTTGAATCCCGACTGTCATTTCGAGAGCTATCTTTCGCAGGTCGTCATTTGCATATTTGATAAGCGTGCCTTCTATGTCTTTATCCAACTTGTTAGTAAAAATGTTAAACAGCATAGAGCTAATCAAATATCTCTGAACTTTACAGTGGGGACCTTCCCCAAGTTAAACTACTCTTTGCTTTTAGCCACTCTACCAGTCCTGAATCTGCCCAGCTGTAACTAGCTCCATCTTTTCTACAGATTATAGTGTGCGAGACTTTGCTAAAACCTGAGTAAATTCTGTCCACAACATTTCCCTTATTTATGTGTCACATAGTGAAATGGTGTGGTTAAATATACCTGACCTATGCCCTGAGTAGGGATATTGCATTGTATTCAGAACTGGACTTTGAACTATTTATGTTAGGAAATGTGCAGTTTTGCTGAAACAGTTTTACAGTATGACTGTTATGGATCATAGGTCATGGGTATAAGAAGTGGAAGGATTCTTAGCGATCATCTAGTCCACATCCTTCATCTTACAGGTAAGAAGACTGAGGCCCAGGGAAGGTATGTTGATATGTAATGGTTGAAGAGTTAGTTTGAGAATCAGTTGGGCAGGCTTAGCCTGGCATTTGCTTTCTGAGCACCGGCCTGCCTTGTTGCTCAGAAATTTGTTACTAGACAGAAGATTAGTCACCATTTTTTTTTTTCCACAGCAGCTCATGAAGGCCATTGGTCGTGTTGTGTGTTAGGAGGAGGAGCACTCACATGGGTAGGAAATCTTGGAGTACTCGAGATGCCTTTGGAACTGATTTAGTGTTGATCCAAATCTGCTGGAAAAAATTGTCTTTTAAGTTAGAATAGTTTCTTCATGTTTTTTCGTGCTTTGTCATTAAAAGCTAATATTGTAGAGGCATTGAGAGGCAGTGTTGCATAATGGATAGAAAGCCAGTCTCAGAGTCAAGATAGCTTGGATGCAAATCCTTCCCTGTATGTATGCTGCTTGTGTGACATCAGACAAATTACTTAGTTTTTTAGTTCTCCCAGACAACTGTTTAGGACAGGAGTGGGAAACCTGCAGCCTCCAGGCCACATGGGACCCTCTAGGTCCTCAAGTAAGGCCCTTTGAATCAAAGTCACATGGGGCCTCTAGGCTGAAGGCTCAGGACAGTAAGTTGCAGAAATGGAGATAATTGAGACAAGTTTAAGGCCACCCACAAGTGAAGTAGGAAGTGGGAAGGATTACTATGTAATTGAGGAAGCAGTCAATAGTCTAGTTTGACTGGAATGTAGAATGTGAAATAAGGCCCGAAAGGTCTGAAAAGGTTGGCTAGGGCCAGATTGAGGCTAGCCTTGAATACTAGGCTAAGGGGTTCTTTCTCCTGTGGTATAGCGGAAAGAACTCGGGCCTTGGAATCAGGATACCAGGGTCGAATGTTGATTAGTATTTGTGTGACCTCATGCAAAACAGTGAGCCTCAGTTTCCTCATCTGTAAAATGATGATGATAATATTTGCAATATTTATCTTATAGGTTATTGTGAGAGTCAGATAAAATAATCAACAAACATTTATTAAGCACCTGCCATGTTCTGAGCTTTGTGCTGGGCCCTATAAGAGTACCAATGAATACTCCCTGCCCAGAAGGAATTTACAACCATAAGTATACTCCAAGTAAGTTTTTGTTTGTTTTTAAAGTTTTTATGTTACTTTCATTTTCAAATTTATCCTTCCCGTTCTCCCTTTTTATTTCTTTCTCTTTTTAAATGTAAATAATATTTTTTCCAATTATGTGTAAAGACAAGTTTTCAAAATTCTGAACCATCTCTTGAAACTAAGAATTTTTAAAAAGAGTAGGGAAAAAGGGTTCAGTAAAAGTAACTAAAGAAACTAACACATCAGCTAGGTAGGAGAGCATAGGCAGTGTGCTCCACATCTGTACTTTTCTACCTCTGCAAAGGAAGAGAGGAGACTGCTGTCATTTTTAGACTCTCCCGAAGAGCTGAGCTTCTTGGCCACTTGTCTATCTAAACCTTAGTGATGGGCACGTGTCAGCCTGATTAAAGAATGCAGGGGACTTAATCCCAGCCCTCCCTCTTATTACTTCTTTGATGCTTTGTGCTTTAGAGGATTTTTCCAGTTCCTGCTTAGCTTTTACGTGTTAGAAAACAATTAACCATTTCTGATCGGGTGATTATAGTGATGCTTAGGAAAATGACCAGGCATGGAGACCAGATGATAGACGGTGATGGCTTTAGGGTAGTGGGAGTGGACAGGAAGGGACTGATAGAAATATTTTAACTTTGGAAGGTATTAAGACCTAGTAACTGATTAGATGTTAGGGTTAGGGATAGAGGACAAAGTCAAAGAAAGCTGAGGTCCTAGTAACAGAATAGTGGCGCCACTAACCAAGGTTGTGAAGTTAGAAAAAGAGGCAAGTTTAGAAGGTTATGTAAAGCTAGATCTCCTTTATATGGAGTTTTAAGATTTGCACAGTATTTCCCTAGTGAAGTAGGTACTGCAAATAATATAATCTCCATAAGAAAATTAAGACTTGGATTAAGTTAAATCAGCATTTATTAAGCCTTCCTCTTTGCAAGGCCTTGTACTAGCTACAGAGAATACAAAGAAAGTTGAAAAATAATCTATATGGCCAAGGAGTTTACATTTTCCTTAGCAATACAACTTATAAAGAGTAAAATAAGATAAACCAATCAGAGAGATCTCTAATAATTAGGGGGATCAAGAAAGGCTTCCTTTATTCTTGTTCACCAGCCAGTTGCCAAATTTTGCCGATTTATACCTCCACAATTTATCTGTTATTACCCTTTTCTGGATAGTCATCACTCTACTTCAGGACCCAGTCATCTCTTGCCTGGAATACTATAGTCGTCTTCTAGTTTGTCTCCCTTAGGTCTTTCTCTGTTCCCATTCATCCTTCACCTGGCTGCCATGGTGATATTCCTACTGACCATGTCATTCCTTTACTCAATGACTAACTCCTTATTGACTTTAGAATCATATAGATACTCATCTCTTGGTAGTTAAAGCCTTCACAGTCTGGTGTCAGCCTTTCTTAAAAAAGATAACATTTGTAAAGATTTGTAAAGATTGAATGAGATAATATTTATAAGCATAGTTAGTAGGCACTATATAAATACTCCTTCCTTTTCCCTTACATTGCTAGCCATAGTACATATCATTCTCTTCCACATGCTCTACAGACCAGCCAAATGTCTTGCCATTCTTCAAACAATGCCCCATCTGTTGTCTCTTCATGCTTTTGCACAGGCCATCCGCCACTATCTGGACTATGCTTCTTCTATGCATCTCCCTCTTAGAATTCCTAATTTCTTTCAAAACTCAATTCCTTGACAATGCTCCCAGGAAACCTCATTATGAGAAAATTCATCCTTTGAGACTGCCTCAGTTGTGGTACTCGCACCTCCTGGGTACCCTCCAGTACCCTCTGCCGCTCTGATTGGAGGGCAGACCAAAGCTTCCATTTAAAGAGACTCCCATCAAGTCTTCATTTGCAACATCTGCACTCTTTAGCCTGCATGCCTGTGTTAGGTGCCTTCTTCGCCAGCCTTTCCCTTCTTCCACCGCCCCAGGCTGAAAACAGGTTTCCTTTGGCGTCTCATCTCCTCTTTCTGGTCAGTGTGTAAGCTCGGTGAGGGCAAGAACTCTCTTTTATTTGCATCCCCCAGTGCTTAACAAAGTACTTGGAGCATAGTTGATGTTTAAATGTTTATTGACTCGTTGAACCCACTAAGGGGTTTGCGTTATTGGTATAGTTTTGGAGATCCCAAGGTCACCTTCATGTTATGGAAGTACAGATATTACCCAGATTTTACAGATAACTGAAGCTAACTGAGGGCTTGAGTAATTAACTCAGTCACACAGATGTGTGACTCCATATGTCTAGTTGGAAATTGGAAATTTGGTACTAAAACTCAGAGATGAGGCTTCAGACGTAGAGTTGGGTATCATCTACTTAGAAATGATAATTGAATTCATGGAAGTAGATGAAATTGTCAAGGAAGACAGTGTAGAGAAAGAAGAGAGTGGGGACAAAGCATTAGGGGAAACCTGTATTTAAGGTGGAAGAAGGAATAACAAAGAAAGCCAATTAGACAAGTAAGGAGGGAACCAGTAGATGTAAGTGTCATTGAAACTAAGGGAGGAGGAAAACATCAGAAAAGAGGGGGGGTGGTCCGCTATGCCAAGTTGTATAGAGAAGTCAAGGAGGCTAGAAAAAAATCTATTGAATTTGTTAGCTTTATGGTCTTGGTTTTCTCATTAAGCTAGATAATCTATTCAAAATAAGAATAAATTAAAAATTAATTCAAAAAATAAAAACCTGAAAAGGTTCAGAACAGTTGCTGGTGGGGATCAATCAATCCACAAGCATATATTAAATCTCTACTATGAAAATACAAAGACAAAAATGAAAGGCTCTGATTTCAAGGATGAAAATCATAATAGTTAATAAGAGGTAGATCAAATGGAGTTGTGAAGGTCTTGGTTGAAATTAGTATTAATTTGTAGTGGATACAGTCAATATGTCTTAAATTTTTTTTTATATGTTATCGATAATCCAGGTGCACTGGTGTGCTTGCTGTCCTCACACAGGACGCTTCATTTTCTGACTCCGCTTCAGTGCCTTTGCCGTAGCTGTTGTCCATGCCTGGAATGCTCTCAGCTTCTCACTAGGTATGTGCAGTGGATAAAGTTGGGTCTCATTTGTTTCATTTTGCACTCTGAATCAGTCTTCTTTCCGTCAGGAGGTAGGTAGTATCATTAGTCCTCTGGAAATCATGGTCGGTCATTATGCTGAAAAGAATTCCTAATTCTTTCAGAGTTGCTACTGTATTGTTGTCATTGTATAAAACGTGGTTCTGTTCATTTCACTCTGCATCAGTTCGTATAAGTCTTCCCAGGTTTCTCTGAAACTGTCATCTTCATCATTTCTTAAAGCACAGTAGTATTAGACCACATTTATGTATCATCATTTGTTCATTCCCCGATTTATGGGTACTACCTCAGATTCCCATTCTTTGCCACCTCAAAAAGAGCTAAATTTTTGTATATCCTTAACTTTTGTTTTACTTAGGACTAATTCTTCCCTTAGTCTACCATCACTTTCATTGCCTTCCTCCCTTATGACCTTTTCCTCCTATTTTCCTGCTGAATGGAATGTACTTCTAGAGGTACCCAACTCTGTGTGTGTGTAATCTTCTCTCCTTTGACCAATTCAGATGAGAGTGAGTTTGAAATGTGTCAGCTGCTCTTCCTGCCCCTCCTACTTGTTTGTATAGGTGCTTACTTGGGCATCCTGATAAAGTGAGATAATTTCCTCTAACCTTCTTTTCTCTTTACCTCTGACCACCCCAACTCCTCAGTATTATCTTTTTCCCCTTTCCATTCTTAAGATTATTGGGATATAACAGAACCACTCCTAGGCCTTGTCTCATTATGAGCCTTCTTTGACTCATGATGATGATAATAATGATAGGGTTCAGAAGAGACATATGTCATCTCCCCATATCTGAATGTAAACCATTTATCCTTGTGTAGCCTTTTATCATTCATTCATATTTACTTTTTTATGGTTCTCTTAACTCCAGTGTTTGAACTTTAGTTTCTACTCAGCTACTGTCTTCTCACGAGGAATGGTTGGAAGTCCTCTATTTCATTAGAGATCCTTTTTTTTTCCCCAGTCACATTTTACTCAATTTTGCTGAGTAAGTTATTATTATTATTAAGCCCATATACTTTGCTTTCGGGAATATTGTATTTCAGGTTCTCTGCTCCTTTATGATGGTAGCTACTAAGTCATGTGTGATCCTGACTATGGCTACTTGGTACTTGAATTCTTTCCTTCTGGCTGTTTGTAATATTTTTTTTTCTTTGATCTGGAAGCTCTGGATTTTTGGCTGTAACATTGCTTGAAGTTTTCATTTTACTGTTTATTTAAGGTGTTTTGACTGCTGGATTCTTTCTATTTGTACTTTACCCTCTACTTCTAAGAGATCTGAGCAGTTTTCTTTTCTTTTCTTTCCTCTTCTTTTCCTTTGTTTTTTTTTTTTTTTTTTTTTTGCTTTTTTGGTGAGACAGTTGGGGTTAAGTGATTTGCCCAGGGTCACACAACTAATGAGTATCATGTGTCTGAGGCCGGATTTGAACTCAGGTCCTCCTAACTACAGCGCCGGTGCTCTATCCACTGCGCCACCTAGCAGCCCCAGGGCAGTTTTCTTTTAGGACTTATTGACATAGGTTATAGGCTCTTTTTTTTGGTCATGGCATTCAGAAGTCCAGTGATTCTTAATTTTTTTCTCCTCAGCCTGTTTTCTAGGTAAGTTATTTCGGTTATGAGATATATTACTTTTTCTTCTATTTTTTCAGTCCCTTGACTTTGTTTTAATATTTCTTGTTATCTCACAGAAGTCATTGGCTTCTCTTTTGTCCATCTTGATTTTTAGGAAATTTGTTGCTTGGATAAAGTTTTGTACTTCTTGTGCTAAGCTGTTAATTCCTTACTATTGTGCTATAAGAAATGATGACCAGTCAAATTTCAGAAAAACCTGGAAGGACTTACATGAAATGATGCTAAGTGAAGTGAGCAGAATCAGGAGAACTTTGTACACATTAACAGCAACATTGTGTGATGATCAACTATGATAGACTTATCTCTTCTCAGCAATACAATGTTCTAAGACAATTCGGAAAGACTCATGATGGAAAATGCTATCCACATCTAGAGAAAGAACTATGGAGTCTGAATGCAGATCAAAGCATACTATCTTCTCTCTTTTTGTTTTTTCCCTTTCTCATGATTTTTCCCTTTTGTTCTGATTCTTCTTTCACACCATGACTAATGTGGAAATGTGTTTATTATTATTGTACATGTGTAGCCTATATAGGAGTGCCGTTATCTTGGGGAAGAGAAGGGGGGAGAGGAGGGAAGGAGGGAGAAAAAAGTTTTGAACTCAATCTTATAAAAGTGAATGTTGAAAACTGAAAATAAAAGGTGTTAATTCCCTTTTAAAATTCTTTCTTTCACAGCTCTCATTTCCTTTCCAGTTTTTTTCTTAACACTCTCATTTAATTTGTTAAAAAAAAAATTAAACTCTTACTTCATCTCTTTCAATAATTCTTGTTGAGTTTGTGACCAAGCTGTGTTTTTCTCTGAGGCTTTGTTTATAGATGAATCATTCCGTTCTGTGTTCGTGTCTCGAGCTACCCTCCCACCATAATCAGCTTTTTTGTGGCAGGATTCTTTTTTTTGTTAGCTCATTCTTGGTCTACTTCCTTACATTGTGCTGGATATTAAGGTTGAACTCTGCTGCAGTTATGGAGACAAGGTCCAGGTCGGTCCTGTTGCTGCTTTCTTGAGATTGTATTGTTCTAAGATCTCAGGGACAAGCAAGCTTGCAGTACTCCCAGAGTGGTCTAATCCAGGACTAAGTCTGGTTCCTGCACTTTGGGTTTGAGCTATGTAGGTTTCTGACCTGTGTTTTGATCAGAACAGCAGTAGATGCTGCTGGACTCAGCCCCTGCAAGCCATCTGGGAGGCGCTGTTGGTTGAGTGGCCCAGTTGTGGGTTCCTCTGTGGTCTGGTATTTCTTCAATGGTTTTTGCTTTGCAGATTGGGCTAGATTTTGGAATCGAGATCCCGCTTTGCTCTGTGCTAATGGACTTCTTCCTTTTTCAGTGCACACCAATGGCCTCTGTACCCAGGAATGCCATCCCTAGGTGTAAGTCCCCATCTTAGTCCACCCTGGATAGAGATTGGCAAAGCTGCCAGTTGGCACTTGCGCCCTGGTATGGGTCTGAGACCTCTTCTTGCCCTGCTTCACAGGCTCTCGCTAGTCTCTGGAGTGCTCTGAGCACAGTGTGCTCCTGGCCTGATCAGGTACCCAGTATTCACATGTCTTCCTATGCAGACTTGTATTGGACGGATCACTTACTATGACTTTTGTTTTGTTTTGGTTTCTTCCTCATTCGTTCTGTCGGGTGTGTTTTCTAGATCCATTTGGAGGGAGGAGCTCATTGTATTGCTTCCTACTGCTCTAATATTTTGCCTCTGGCTCCAATAATGTCTTCACACACATAGGTACTGCCAAATACTGAGATCAGTCCATAAGCATATGATTTTAAGGTTGAATTTAAGAAGCGTAATCAGGTCTCTGCAGTAAAAGCTAATTTACAAAGCCATTCAGTATTTGATATTAGTGGCTGAAGGTGGTTTCCCTGAAGAAAAATTCCAATTCTGGACCTGAGCTCAAAAAATCATAATAAAGCCCCTCCCCCCCATCTGATATGATGAGTATGCACTCGTAATATTTTAAGAGGTCATAGTATGAAAATGTATGTGACATCCAAAATATTATCAAACTATAAAGGAACAAACATTTATATGGTATCTACTATGTGCTAAATGCTTGTAAAGTAAATGTTATTATTATCCCTAGGTCACTTTTTAAGGAAAATGAGACAGTTTGAGTATGCCAGTATGTGTCTGAGGCTAGATTCGAACTCACTGCTTCCTGACTCCAGGCCCAGGGCTCTATCTTGTACCCCACCTAACGGCCTCTCTGATTAATGGTATCACTGAATTTTAGCGCTCCAAGCCGCAGTGAGAAACTATGAGAGCCTTGGTGTTGCAACCACTCAGCCCTGCTGTTGTAGGGAAAAAGCAATGGTAGACAAAGTGTGCATGAGCGTGCCTGTGTCCCAATAACACCGTATTTAAAAATGTAAAAATTATTTTACTCAAGAGCCTGTTTAAAAACAGGTAGAGGGCTGGATTTGGGGGTGGGGATTGTAGTTTGCTTTACTGATCCTGTGGCTTATGTCATCAGGTATTAATCAAATTAATTGATAAACAATTAGATCATAAACCACTATTTAGAACTTGGGTGTAACCAGCTAATAATCCCATACCTAGAAGGAAAGGAAACCCACAGGAAGGCCCCCTAACCCTCAGCCTGCTCTTGGGTTGTTACTGACACGGGCTCTTTTGAGGGCAGTACTGATTGACTGATAGAGGGGAAACCTTGTCTGTGAGCAACATTATGAGACATGTGTACTGGTAAGCCTTAGGAAGCCAGGCTGGTGGTTTGTTCCTAGTGGGGTTAATGTTTCACCAGACTACTAAAGGGGTCGATAATACAAAAAATGTGAGGAACCCCTATGTCTAAGCAAATGCTTTACACAATGTGTGCACCTGTTCAATTTATATGTGTGTGTATATATCTATACATATCTATATATATATACGTATCTGTACATATATATCTATACATATATAGATACACACACACACACACACACACACACATATATGACAGTAAGGTAGGTAATGCATTAACTAAGCGCTTATATGTGCCAGGCACTGCTACACAGGCATAGAAGATGAAAAGTCCAAAGACAGAGATCCTTTACGGAGGCTTTTACATCAGATGAGAAGGCATGGATTAGTTAGAGCTGCACTCCAAGCCGCATAGAATTACCAGGAAAGTCATTTATATTGAAATTCAGTTATCAAAATATTAAAATCAACAACAGCAAATTCATAGATCCAAGGTTAAGGACCCTTCATTCTTTTTCCAGCTTTGCTTTTAACTCCTTGGACTTCTTTCTCCATCGTGTCATAGCTGCTTTCTCACCCTGGAACTTTCCCTTCTCACCTTTAAGCCTTTTTATTCTGG